CCTTTTCTTCCCTGCGTTGGTGGAGCTTCTCGGGATGAGGTTAGGGCCTGAGGTCTCTGATTCCAGCCGCCCAATCCACCTGGGTGTCTCTGTCCCTCTGCCACTGGGGCTCCGCTCATTCTGTCACCTTCACATCCTTGAGGCGGACTGGAGCCAGCTGCCAGCGCCCTCTGCTGGTGAATGGTGAGAGGACTGGAGCCAGTGGGCCAAGCTTGCTTTTCCATCTGAGGCGGGCGAGGCGTGGGTCTCCGGCTCCGACGCTTGACAGGGGTGGCCTTGTTGCCCAGGTGCTCGGAACAGTCGTTGTAGGGCCTTTTTGGGCTCCAGCCCAGGTCTGGTGGTGCAGGTCCGGAGCAGGGGCTACTCCCAGTTACCTACTTCTAGAGAATCGTGAAGTTGGTACTAAGGCCTTGGCTCCCATTCTGCTGGGATTTGGAGGAAGAGTCGGGATTTATGTGACTCAATTATGAGAGAACACCAGGGACTGCTAAGTAGTTATTTACACATTTTTACCGATTTCTACCTTGGTAACCCTCTTTTCAAATGAACAAAGACAAGACTTCTCCATTTACGATTTTCCCCATCTTCTGCATTGAAACAGCAAATTATCTCCCCCAGTGATTCTGTAGGACATTTAAGAAGCCGTCATGTGTTTCATTTGAGTGCGAGAATTCACTGTTTCACTTCACCATTTTGTTTCAGTTTCTTATTACCCATTCTCTCTGCTCAATATGGTCTCCACAGCTACTGGAATGTCTTTAAGGACTGCAAAGAAACAAAGTACACTTGAAAAGCTATGTCTTCTCTCCTTTCCTTTAAGCTCTGGGCCGAACGCCCACCTCCCTTTTGTTTTGACTTTGGCTTGAGATTGTGTGGGCTTCCCCAGCACACTGCCTAAAAACACAAAACAAAACCACGATACTGCCTAAAAGCAAACAAAACCCAAATCCCATTCACCTCTGACCTTTTGAAATTACCAAATACAGGTGGCCAAACCTGCTGGCTTGTCTCTCCCCAGCCTTCACTCCATCCTGAGTGCTGGGCAGGCTGTGTTCATCCTGGTGTTCCTCCCTGTGCCACACATACCCGTCTAGGATGAGCTCTCATCCGGTCAGTCACATCCAAACTTGAATTTCCTTCTTCACAAGAGCTGCTCAGCCCCTGCCCAGAACCCCAGCAAGACTCCTCCCATTCTTTTGGGCAAGGGCAGCGTATTGGGAAGCTGTCAAGCCAGTGCAGCTCAGGCCCCCCCCCCCCGCCCCCGCCGAGTCTGCATACCTGGTATGGGCATGTCCCCCGCCCCCCACTCTGGCCTGAGCTGCTTGAGAGCCCCTCGGGGCCTCCCCCTCTCTGTCCTCTGACCTGTCTGCTCTATGCTTATCACCTCTGCTGGGCCTGGGAGCACGGCTTTCAAAGCACTTTAGCTGTTGACTCCAGCCTGTCCAGATCCCACAGCTCGAGTTTTCTGTCCCCGCTTGGGCTTCTCTCCCTTCAAACAGAAAGCTGCTCACGCAGATGCAAAGGTTTCCTGTTCCTCAGACCTCATTTTTTAGCTGGCGATGGGAAGAGGTTGTAGGGACTAAGAACAAGTATTTTCTGTTCCTTTATTCACAAAACAAAATGATGCTTCACAGCTTGAGAGCAGAGGACCCTGGAAGTCAGAGAGGTTCTAACACTTTTCGTGGAACCAGAGAAGCAGGGCCTGCTCCCCCCACCCCCCGCCCCGGGTGTTGCCCTCTGGAAAAGACTGGAGGCAGAGTCCAGCCTGCAGCTAGACGACCCTAGTGTACGACGTGTTGGTTTTATGACTTGAAACCATGGATTTATCTCCTTAAGCCTTGATTGGGCTAAACGTTTCTGGCCCAGCATGTGAAAGTGCTTTAGAGAAACCCAAAGTACCACACAGCTGGAAGAGAGCTTCAGGGTCTGGAGTCCCCAAGCTTGGGATGGAGCTCCCCTGTTGTGCACCTCTAATGTGTGGAGACTCATTACCCCATTAGCGGATTTGTTATAAATCACAGTTAAAAGGGCTGCCTTGGTAATTTCACATTTGGGGGCCAGACGGTCAGTTCTGATCATCCTTTTACTTCAAAGTATGGCAGGAGAAGGTTCACCTATGACAGCTTATGCTTGTGTTTTTTGTCATGTCTGTGACCTGGGGGTTTCTTTGCTGGCCTCTTTTAGCCTGCTGTAAGCTGAGTGTGATTTTAACGAAAACTAGATGCTAGCTCCACGTGTCCACGGCAGTGCTCAGAACCAGGCTGAACGCAGACCACCTGGGAAGCTTTGTGGAGCTGCCCCGCTCGAAGAGGGAGCACCTGGCCACCAATCTGAATGCTCAGTGTCAGTGACACCTACTTCCTTTAAGATAACAGATATAAACGGAGGCTTTAATTTCTTTTCCTGCACCCAAGGGGCTCACCTTGTGCCCCCTCCCCTTGGGATTTGGACCCCCAGTAGGGAGAGTTGGCCTTGATCCCTGTGGGAATCCTGAGCTTTAAAAAAATGCAGACCCTCCTCCCCTCACCCTAATTTCTCACTCGGGGGGCCCAGGATAAAGTCCGACTAGCATACCTCAAATGGAGCCATGTTTGGGGACTGTTAAAAAATATTCTGTTAAATAGAAAATTATTCATGACACTTGTTAAAAATATCAAGGCAGACTTTATTCAAGGGCGGGTACTACAGTGAGGTTTTGTAGTAGGGGAGAGCCATCAGGCTTAACTCTGGATACAACAAGGAAAAGGGACTTTATAGCCAAGGAGCAGGGTGGGGTCAGTGGATGGAAAGTTGCTAAGAGGAAACACCAGGGGTAAGGGGGATGGGTGAGGAGGAGGGCTCTGGCTAAACTCAGCACCAGGATTCTTGCTGAAGGCAACCTAGGTGATCAGACATCTCCTGCAAGATGGTGAAAGACAAGGAACCCTCCCAAGTGGGAGGGCGATCAGGTTTGGGGATGGGGGTCCTGGCTAAAATGACTTGGTAGGATGCTTGCTAAAACTGGACGGCGCAGAGAGGGGCAGGGAAGCTCCAAACGCAGGGCCTAGATGAGAGTTCAGAGGAGCCCGAGCGGAGTTTGGTCCAGGAGAGACTGTCAGGCCCCCAGACCGCAGGCGGGTCCCGATCCGGGCGGGGACGCCAACGGCGCGAGCTGCCTGCAGGGGGCGCGCCGGGTCTCCGCGCGGGCCGCGGCCGGGGCCGGAAGTGCCGGGGCGGGGCGGGGCCGCGTCCCCACCACCGCCCCGGGCCGCCTCTCGGGCCCGCCCCCGGGAATCCCGGAAGAGCGGCGGGCGAGCGGGGGAGGCGGGAAGCCCGGACCCGAGGAGCGCGCCGTCCGGACTGAGCTCCGCCCTGCCCCCCTGCCCGGAGCACCGGGGCCGCGAGCGAGCGTGCGGGCGGCCTCCCTCCCGTGCTCCGCCAGGCCCCGCGTGCAGGTCCACGTGCCTGCCTCCCGCTCTCGCCCCCGCAGGTTGGCAGTCGTCTCGCCGCGGTCGGGGCGGCGCACGGTCCCCGAGGCAGCGGCGGGCGGTGGGTTGGGAGTGCCGGGCCCATCCCGAGCGTGCGGAGCTCGGTCTCCCCCCAGGTAGCGCGGGCTCGTTCTGCCTCCCCGGCCCTCCCCGCCGGGCCTCTGCCCTCCTAGGAGCCCCAGCAGCATGGCGGCGGCTAGGCGCGAGGTTTGGCCTGCACGACCCGGCTGCGAGTCCTGGCTGGCCATTTCAAACTTTGTAACCTTGTGCACATTGCAGTCAGTTCCTCGTTTGTAAAATGGGCTTGATAATATCTGCCTCGGGGTCGAATAAACGTCCGTATGCCTGGCGGTTAGCAGTGCTCGTTAGTTGTGGGAATGACTATTAACGTTGCCTGAATTTGGACTGCAACGAGGTACGTTGGCCAAGGTCTGTCCTCTGGCCAGAAAGGTTAGAATGACGTCCTGCTCTTTTTTTTTTTTTAAGTTGTAAACAGCCTAGATGAGCAATTAATGACTATGATTCAGAGAGGGATCCCTTATTCGGGGCTGACCCTTTTCTGGGCAAACATCTACTCCAGTAAGCTCCTCCCTAGGCGGAGCCCTAAGCTGCTTTCAGGATTCGGTTTGTACCCTTTGAGCCCCAGGGTGGGGACTGAGCGTTAGGGGGAGGGGAGAAGAGAGACCAGGTCAGATGAGAGGCTGCCCTGGGGCCTTTGGGATTCTCCCATCCCAAAGCCAGCATCAGTTGTGGTCCCTGATCCCTACCACTGGCTAAAATCTGGCCAGTCAGAAGTATCTTTGGATTAAGGGAGGGACTGTTGGTTGATTCAACCTTACTGGGGATCAAAAGGGTCTTGGGGTTCCCTGTAACCACACCAAGGTAGAGGAAATAAGTCTGGAGTTGGGGAGATCGTGAGAGATATGCTAAGAGTAGGAGAGGTGGGGCACCCTGAGGGCAGCGAGCACCTTGGATGGCAAGGACAAGGGGAATGGCCCGTTTTAGTCTCCTGGGCCCTGCTCTCTGCCCAGCTAACCTCTGGCCTGTCCTGACCAGTAATTACAGCTGATGACTGGAAGTATTCTAACTTCTTAGAATTCACTGGACTTTGTTCCAGGACACACAGAACTATCATTCCTGATGTGATGAGCATGGGGTTTGCTGTCCTGAATTAGAAAAGCAAATCATTAAGCCTGGGCCCTGACTCATCTTCAGGAGAGAAAAGCGAGATGGGAGACTTAAAATCTGAGGATAAAAAGAGGGTCCTTCCCACATGGATGACAGCCCAGGAGGCCGAGAAGAGAAAGGTTCCAGGGAAGACCCCCAAGGGGAGGAGACGGCCGGCGGCAGCGCAGAGGACTGTTGCAGCAAGGTGGGACAACTTCCGGCTGGGGTTCCCGGGGAATCAGGAGGAGGGAAGGTTTGGGGGCGTAGCAGTTGCTGGGGCTGAGCCTTCCACAGGGAGGTGGGTGGGTGTTTCAGCCCTGCAGAAGCCTTTTCAGCTCGCAGGTGCACAGCCTGCAGGGGTGAAGTGAGCCCTCCCCTCACAGACAGACCCCGCCTCTGCGGGTGCATCTCTGCAGCCAGGCCCTCAAGGGCCAGCCCCCAGGCAGTGCTCCCCCTCTGGTTTGCACACATTAGCCAAGCTCTCAGACACCACTTGTCCAAAATGCCAGGCTCTTCATTTGCACCAAAAACTGTGACCAGCCAGGGGTCAAGCTACGTGGACCAGGGTCCAGCCTCCCCGCGGGCAAATCTTCAGGGACGGACAGATGAGTAGCAGTCACTGGGCCAGCGTGGAATCAGAAGCTGCGGGGCCAGTTAGTTGAACGGTGGTAATTTGGGGGAGTCTTAGGGCTGCCGGGGAGGGGACGTCCCTGCATTCTCCTAGACTGGGCACTACAGTGCCCCCCTCCCTGGCTCTTCCTTTTCTGAGTTGTCCTAACTGGACCCACCTCCGTTCTGACTTGCAGTCCTGCTCTACTGTGGTCATGGGTGCAGGTGGGGGTCAGTCGCGTCTGGGCACGATGATCTATTTGATCTGCTGGTGTCCCTTGCATGTGGGGCACTGACCCTCAGGAGCCGGCCAGATTGGAAAGCGGCGGTGGGTGGGTAGGCCTGGGGATGTGACTCTTGCTCTTGTGTTCTTCTCCCTCGTGAGACCTGAGACCCGTCCGTCCCCATCCTAGCATCATGCCTTCCTTTCAGGCTTGCCGCGGTGAGGACCGTGTACTGCATGAGTGAAGCTGAAATGGTGGATGTCGCTCTGGGGACCCTGATTGAGGTACAGGCAGCTGTGTCTCTTCTTACTCGGAGGACCAGAAACTGGACTGGGCCCTTGATTAATGGCAACAAAAGAGACGCCGTGCATTCTCAGGCGGCCTTGGAGGAGGGGGGCGTCATCTGTCGTCCCATTTCTTCCACCAGGCCCTTGTCTGGCACTTCTCTCAAGGTCGCACTCCCCTTGGCCTCTCCCCACGCGAGGTGGGACTTAATGTTTGGGGCTGGACACGTGGGGAGGGAGGGCAGCCGTCTCTGGGGTGACTCTTTGCTGGTATGTGGAAGGGGACGGGAAGTCTTTAACTGCTTATGTTCTCCGAAGGGTCTCAGTTGGTGACTTTTGACCATTGTACTTCTTAGCTGAATGCCTCCCTGGCCTCTGAGGCGGAGTGTAATTGTACCGCCTTAGTATTAGGTAGCCGACTGGGTACTTTCATGTATTACTTACTGTCTCATTTAATCCTTGCCATCACCTGGTGATCCGTTAGTTCAGATATTATCCCCATTTTACAGATAAAGAAATCGAGGCCCAGGGATTTCCCCTTAGTTGCACCGCCAATAAGTGCCAGAGCTTAGGCCCACACTCAAGTTTTGTATCCCCTACTCCTTCCATTCTGTCACCCCTGCCTTTCCAGATATATTTTTCCTGTTTTTCTTTTCCACTCTGGTATTCTTCAGGCCCCTGCCCACGTCTCTCTCACATTGGTCTTGACTTCTACAGGAGCTGTGAGGGGGTAGAAAGGTGGGGAGCGGGAGGAGCAGGGCTTGACCCGGTCACACGCTGGGCTTCACGGTGGCTTCTGCATTGCTGACGGATAAACTGTCATGTTCACTCGGGAAATAACATAATGTCTGTTTTGCCTGTCATTTGTCCTACTCCCGCAGGCCCGGAAACAGGAAAAGCCCTTGGAGCTGCTGACCCTGGCGGGCGCTGATAAACCAGAGCTGTCCCCAACCTGCTCAATGTTGTCACCGAGTTCTCCTGGGAGTAGAAGTGAGGATGAGGACAATGGGGAAGACGCCCTTCCTCCAGGCCTCCGCCCTCCTCAGGGGCCCACGGGGTCTGACTCTGCGTGCAGCAGGAGCCCTGAGGAGGACGAGGACATGTTAAAATATGTCAGGGAGATATTTTTCAGCTAAGGGACAGACTTCCTAGGACTTCCTTCCCAGGGCGCTGAGGGAAGCCGGCTTCCCTTCCCGGCCTGGGGCCTGGCCGAGGATGCCGAAGAGGCCCAGTCCTCCCCTCCCTGGGCTGGCAGATGCACCAAGGAGGGGAAGCCCAGGGGGCTTTGGGCCTTGGGAGCTGTCGCGTTGAGTGTGTGGAAGTGAGGAACCATAGAATTTCTCTCTGCGCTGCGCCTACTCCACTCGGAGGGTCTGGCTTTATTCACTTCCCAGGTTCAGGGAAAGGTGGACAAGGGGGTCACACTTACTGGAACCGTCGTAGAGTCAACTTAATAAATTTGAAAGAAGAAGTATAGCTGCTAAGTTCACTGGAATTCCGACAGCGGGATCTCTCCCTAAGGAGGAAGCCTGTTTCCATCCCCCGTGCAGCCCGGGAGGCAGATGTCCTGCCCACAGGGATCTGCACTGGAAGGCCTCTGCCCCCCCCACGCTGCCACCTTCCTTCTACTCGGCGGCTCAGCCTCAGTCCCCGGGCAGTTGGGAAGCAAGACTGGGACAGGAGCCTGCAGGAGACTCTGCAGCCGAGATCCTGCCAGAGTCCCCAGTTCTGTCTCTATTCAGGGTGGCCTTGGACAGATGGAATGAGGCGGGCATTTGCTGCACAGGTTTTCCGACATGCAGGTGCTCAGAAATACAAACCGGTCCGCAAGGCGGAGGTTGTGCTCTTCTCCTTTGCAGTTCTGGGTGGAAAAGTGAAGAGATGCAGCATCAGTATGTACGTGGAGCTGTTTTGTTCACCTTGCTCACCTCTCTGGGGATTTGTTGTATTCTGTTCCCAACTCCCGGGGCCCGTGCTAGGAACGATTTGCCCGCTGACGCCCCTGCTTTGTCTGGCCTCGGGTCCAGGAGCCTTTCCAGGAGAGCCTTCAGAGCCACCAAGGCTTCTCTTTGTGCCCACGGGTTCGGTCTCTAGTGAATCCCTCAAGGGACCACTCCTGGGCCTTCGGGAGTGGTATTAGGGAAAGGGGGCTCATCACATCGCACCCACCACGGAGAGGGGGAGCTTGCTAACCGGGAGCCCCAAGAGACACCGAAGCGAGCTCTCTCTCTCTCATAATGTTCCCCATTGGTTGACATAAACCTTAACTGGGTTCTAGTTTGACATTTGGCAAATCGTCCTGGAAGTCAGGCCTCGTGACAGGAGTCCTCTCTCCATGAGCCTGAGGAAGAAGTGAGAATGGCTTGCTCAGATCAGTGCAGGAAAGCAGGAGTTCTCAGGACGGTGAGCTGCGTGGTCTGGGGGTGCCCTTGGGAACCTTGGAAGTCCCGCCATTGCTGCCTCCTGGCCTCTTGACTCTAGGTACCCCACCTTCTCCGTGGCGGGGCCTGGCTCCTAGGGCTTGAGATGGGCATTCGCTATCAAACAGGCTGAGAAGACATACCAGCCCCTCAAGTTTCTGGCGCCTTCTCTGAGCATAGTTCAAACTGAACTCTGGCGATCACGTTAACCTTTTGACAGACCTAGTAGCTGTCCAGCTTGCTCTTGTCCTCCGCCCTCTGAGGGAACACGATCGTGGCCATAAGCAAGAGGACGAGTAAGGCCTGCGCGGTGCCCAGAGCGAGAAACCCGGGCTCCAGCAGGGAGAGCCTGACCCACTTCCACGTGTAGGTGAGGAAGAGGCCCAGGCCACTGGCCAGCAGCATGGAGGACGTGGCGAGGAAGCCCACCGCCAGCCGCCACTCTCCCTGGCTGCTGTTGCACCAGGCCAGGAAGAGAGGCAGGGGGACGAAGAGCATCAAGACCAGGGCCCCGTACACACCAAGCCTGGCCAGGGCCAGGCCGACCCGCGACACGCCCAGGGCCTCCAGCTCAGGGAACTGGCGGCACCGCAGGGAGCCGGTGCCCTGGTCCCACAGGCAGAAGTTGTAGAAGCCGACTCTGAGGTGGGGCAGGTCCGTGAGGTTGCCGGCCTTCCAGAGGAGAGCATAGAAGAGCAGGGAGATGGCCGCCGCCGTGGCGGCCATGATGGCCAGGAAGCGCAGCTGTGCGGCCTGCTTCGGGCTGGGCATGGTCATCTTCCCCTGCCCTTGGCACGGCCGCCTTCCGGGTACCTGCGGGAAGGCACATCCGTGAGCGTCCTCACAGTTCCTGGAATTCCGTAAACACCCGTGGCACCCTTCCTCCCGACCCCAGCGGGAACCCGAAGTTAGAGGGAGCCTCCAGGCAGCACCCACTCGGTGAGTCCTCAGCCGCCTCTCGGGGCCAAGTTCAGGGGGAAGGGCCCCCCGCGGGGCAGCTGGGGGTGCCTGAAACGTGCACACTGATGCCCTCTCAACAGGGGCTTCGCTGCACTTTCAACACCACAAGCCCCTGGAAACGTCTGAGGGAGTTGCTCAGATCCTGACGAGGGTGGGCTTGTCGGGGGTGAAGGAGACGCCGCTCCTTGGGGGCCCGGAGGGGGAGGACGGTGCTAAAGGCTCCGTGGGGGACAGCAGCACCACCCAGGAGCTGGAAGAACCACCCTCAGTGGGACCCAGACCAGTCAGATCAGAACTTCTGAGGTTGGGGCCAGGCACTGGTTGTTCTAGAAGCTCTGTAGCACGTTCTCACGTGAGCTGGGGTTGAGGAGCCCTGTGAGCTCAGCTGCCCGGCTCTGGGAGTCAGGACGTGGTGAAGACGAGAGGCCACCCGGTAATGAAATCACACAGTCGTACTCCCTACTTTTTAAGTGTCTACAATTTAAGTGTCCTGACAACAGTAATGGTAGAAATCTTGGAAAGTCATTTTTAAAAGAAAAAATAGAAAAAATCACCTCTTCTCCCACCGCATACATAGAATCACTGTTAATTTTCTACCAATATTTTTTTCCTATGTGGTGTATTTTTAAAGAATCATACAGTTGACCGCAATGATTTTCTCACTGACTATTGTGAACCTTTTTTCAAAGCTGTTAAATAGTCTTCAAAAACGTGGTTAATGGCTGTGTAATAGCTCATGTCATAGATTTATCCATGACACTATCAGACAGATTGTGTCCATTTTTCACCATTATAAGTGACAATCAGGGAAGATGCTTGCACGATTCTGATTTTTCCTTAGGCTAGATCTCTAAGAGTACAATCAGAGTCAAAAGTAAAAAAAAATTTTGGTGATTTTATTGCATATTGCCCAATTGACCTGCAGAAAACTTCATGGTAATCCCTGTCATGTAGTAGACACCTTCCTGATTGTATTTGAAAAACCTTTTCACTCCATTTTTACTCCAAAGGACTTCTCCAAATTGGCCCCTACAACAGTCATCTGCATACGATACCTTTATATTTGTAAATCTTCCAGTGTGGAATAAAATGGCCATTGACAGCCCAGAGCCCTGGGAACTCAGTGCTGCCGGCCTTAGGCCTCAGAAGACAACAGGTGCTGGGGACAAACTAGAGTGACATCTGGTCAGCACCAGAGGGCAGCGTCTGAAGGGTCCCCTGGGGAGGAGCGGGCCCTCCCTCTTTGCCACAGCTGACTGGAAGGAAGGGGTGTCTGACCACATCCCTTATTTGTTCTGTGAGAACAGAAGGTGCCCGGAGGGAGAGAAAGAACACGCACTTGGGAACAGGATGTGGGGCCGCACAGCGCTGGGCTGGCTGCTGCTCGTGTCCTGTAGGACATCTGGACAGACTTCAGGACCTCGTGGACTAAGAGGCTGGAGGCTGGTCCTAGCTTCTTTGTCTAAATGTTTCATAGTGAAAGCTTACGATGTTTGGCTGGAAAAGCCCATGGCACTCCCCTCCTCTGCTGTCCTAGGAGCCCACCCTGGCTTTTTTGGCCTTTAACAATCCTAGCAATCACGTTCTTGCCACCGTGAGCTTTTTAATTCCCTTTCACAACAAGCCTTGCTTCCTTCAGAGGGTAACTGGGGAGACTGCTGAGTCACTGTCACCCTTTTTAGCTGAACTTTTTCCTGTTTACAACAAAGCAACAGATGCTGATTGTAGAACACTAGAAAAATAGGCGAACGACTAAAAATCATCTGTACCTTCGGGTTGTAGAAATAACCACTCTTAACAACACATTTCCTTCCATAATGCTGTTTTACACAGTTGCGCTCGCATAACTGTATGTTTGTATCCCGCTTTGTAAACACATGATAGCGTGACTACACTTGTGTATATTACGTTGTTCGACATTACTTTGTAAGGCTAGAAATGAGGCTGTGGGGGATGTTGGTGAACCCCCGTCTCTTGTCACTGGCACTTGCTTCTCAAGACCCCTGAAGTGCCCTCTCCTGAGTCACGGAATCCAAAGAAACTTCACAAACCGTCCTAGCACCTTTGTTCCCTTTCACAGAGGAGGGTCAGTCGCTCCGGTCTCCATCTCGGCTAAAATACCCACCAGCTTACTCACTGCAGAACTCTGTTGTGGACCCGTACTGATCCTGCACTTACGTACACCTTCTCCTTTGTCACTGTCTGCTCATGGCTTTCCATATTACATTTTCATCTTATCCCAATGATCGAGATTCCCACAAAACTCCCTTCTCTTCTCCTTTGTCTTCTGTAAAAACACCAAAAAGACCCATCCTCGTCCTATTTATTTTCGATCCGTTCTTCCTGCCCGCACATCTAATGTCACCCAGTACCCAGATGTTCTGTAGAGCTGGGGCTTAGGTCTCTCACCATCTACCCGATGCACACCTGCATGCCTCTGTTGTTCACGACGTCCCGAGGGGGCCTCACAGGGCACCCCTGCACATCTTTCATGCCACGTGACCGCTCATCTGCCACCCACGGCAATTCTGTTCCACTCACTAGGCGTCCAGGGAGCCCTTGGAATGTGGCCCGCGGCGGGGGGTGGGGGGCCCACGGAGAGCCGCCCCTCCAGGAGTGTGGGCACTGGACTCCCGGATCTCCAACTTCCTCCCCCCGCAATACTATCCTGTGCTCTCCCTGGAGGGCTGTACATCTTCTGGAACGTGCTACCAAGGGTGCCCTCTTTTCGTGCAACATGAACAATGACCTGGCCTTCTTCCTGCTCCTTTGAGGACGGGACCTCTCCTATTAGCCTTGCTCCCCCCACCCCCCCGCCCAACCCCCAGCTTCCACTAACAGTGGCATTCGCTGTATTTTCCAAGAACTGAAGGCAAGTCAGGACTTGGGTACTTGCCAGTTCCTGGCCTGGAATGCTCTTCTGTTGTCACAGGTCTCCCTCCCTCGCCTCCCTTGGCTCTCTCTGCTCCAGTGTTCCTTTCTCAGGGACGCTGCCCGATTAGCGTCTTCACCTTGACCGCATACCCCCACCCCCAGCAGCTGCAGCTGGGGCTCCCCGGGTCCCTTTCCTGCTCTCTCCCTGCAGCCTTTTTACCGTCTCCCATTCTCAACCTTTTCTTGTCGCCCCACCCTCGCCCCCAGTGGGATATAAACTCCATGAGGGCCAGGACTTATCTGCTGCTCATTTATGTATCTATGGTTAGCTGGCTGACTGGCTGTTCATCTACCAAAAAATCTATCACTTACTGTTACGGCCCCAACACCCAGGGCCACCAGGCACAAGGCAGGCACTCAGTGTCTACTGAGTGACATGTAATGACTGAATGAACGTTCACAATGGCACACGGAGTTGCTCAAACTCCTCCCTGTGTTTACACTGCCCCCACTCTGGGCTCAGAGTTTGGGCACCTCCCTCCCCGTCTGGAACATTGCAGGCCTGTTCCTGGGGGCTGTTGCGAGACCGAAGCACGGCAGTTGTCCACACCGGCTGACCGGTGCCTGGCGCGCGGCCTGCTGCACCAGCTCTGCTGATCCTGGTGGAGCGGTGTCCGCGATCGATCGATCGATCGAGATCGATCGGGGGAGAAAAGGGAGGTGAGGGCAGGGAGAGGAGGAGGGCTGGGAGTGCCGCATGAATGGAGAGCCAAGCGAAGCCAGGGAAGAAGATGTCAGCGGAATGAAGCCACACAAACCATCTGACGGGACGAGCCCAACGGAGTGCTTAGTGTCAGGCGGTCCTGGCCCGGACTAACAACTCTCTGATCAGTGTGTTCACGGCTAGGGTGTGGTTCTGACAAAAATCAAAAGGGAAGAAGAAAGGGAAATGTGTCATATTTCCTCTGGCAGAAATAGGAGCCCAGGTTCTTCTTTTTCCAACCTGGGCCGCAGTGGTGCCTCCCAAGTGGGTGCAGGTGGGGACATCTGCCCGGGTCTCCCCGCGGTCGGTGTTTTAGGCAACACGTGCCATTCTGATGCACTTAATTCTGCACGTAAAGGAAAGCAGCTTCGCCAGCAGAAACAGGACCCTGAGACTGCTCGTAGGGCCAAAATCATCAGGCTCAAGGCCTCCCCGTTGGCCGAGCTACTCAAGTAGGCTGTGGCAGGGGTTCCGGTGACGTTAACTGGCTCTTGGTTCATCTGTTTTGTTGCTTGCTAGCCCCTGCGAGCAGATGATCCCGCTGGGGGCAAAGGTCAACGACAATTTAGAGGGAGAAACAGTCCTTCGTAACGAGCACAGGCCTGCACCTTGGGCCCATCCGCATTTGGTGTTTCGCGGCGGGACTCCACAGCTAGTTGACAGGAGGCTAAGGTTAAGGTTCCCCGGACCCGAAGCAGAGTTTGAAGGCAAGTAGTACTAGAAACTAGGACTGCCACTGGCTGTCGCTCCTGGTTCTCCCGCCCGGCCCTCTCCTGCAATCCTGACAGAGAGCCACAGCCCCCTCCTACCGAGGAGGCCAGGGTTTCCTCTCGTGACTGCATGAACGGCCCATTTTGGATGGTTCCCTCTGTCACAGGCCCTGTGGAATCAGTAGCATTCAGGGCAAACCAGGGGCCTGGCTTCACTGAGCTTGCCTTCTGGTTGGGGAGACCAACGCCAACGGTATACTTTTAAAAAGATAATTATAATTTTGAAAAGATTTGGGAAGGAAATAAACAGGATGAAGTGAGGAGAGAAGGTGATGGGAGGAAGCCATTCGTCTCGATCGGTGGGTCAGGGAAGGCCTGCTTCGGGAGGAGACATTTGGTTTGAGGCCTGAGGGACGTGAAAGAGCCCTGCTGAGCTGGGCCAGGGGAAGAGCCTTCCAGGGAGCAAGTGCAGTCGTTCTGAACGCTTGGTTGGGAGATGAACAGATTTCCAGGGCCGGGGCAGCGGCCCCATAACTAAGGAGAGGGGAGGAGACCAGTCCGGACCGGCGAGTGGTCCCTGGTCCCGGTGGGCCTTGTAGGCCAGGGTGACAGGTGTGGATTATATCCTTGTAACCGAGTGTTCCATTAACTCATGTCCCTGTTCCCCCAAACACAAGGAGCTAGGTGCCCAGATGGCAGGTTGAAAGCCCAGGCGGCCCTGTGATTTGGGACAGACGGAGCCAAGTCCAGCGGCTACCTCACACGCATCCTGCCAGGTGGCCCTGCGGGATGCACCGAGGCCTACCTGAATGTTGTTGCACCCAAGAAGAGGTGGACGTCAAGAATAATCGACAGTCACGAACACCTAGACCTTAAATTTTTCAAGAGGTCTTTAGAGAGTTGGCTGGAAAGCCGGGTAAGTTTCCCAGGAACTTGACCTCCATCCTCACACGGGAGGGGAGGGTTCTTCCCTGGCGAGTTTGTAATGCATATGAAAGGGCTTCCAGACACAAAATAACTCAAAGAAAGCAAATCACCACCAAGTTGAGTAGCAGACGCTCTGGGGCCTCCCCCTCCAGCCTGCAGGGCCAGTATTTGGGGAACCTGCGAAAGCCAGCCCTGGCCTGGTCAGTCTCGGGGCTGGGGTGGGCTGGCGGCCTGAGGAGAGGGCGGAGGCTGACAGAAGCTAGCTCCCCTCACAGAAGCGCTGGGCGTCTCGGGATCCCCTCCCAGAGTCTGTTGATGTCTAGGTTGGGGCTGACACAGTGAATTCTTCATGTGCCTGGACCACAACATGGAGGCCGCGGCGGCGCCCAGCCCAGGTCGCAGTTCTCAGCCTAAGTCAGCCGTCGAGGACCCCTAACGCACACGGAGCACAACCCTGGAACCCTGCTCCCGCTAGCTCGCCTTACCCCACAGAGCAGGGCCTCCTAGCTAGTCATGCCCCCTGGTTTCCACACTGCGGCTTCGCTCCACCACACGCTCTTGCCCCAAATCCCGCCCCGGTGCTCCATGCTTGGGAGGCGCTGTCCTCCCCCAGTCCACAGCTTGTTGTCCCTCAAATCAAGGAAGGGTAATCTCATGCCTGAATTGTTTTCATTTTGTCATTGGACAGGGCTGAGAACGCTGAGGTGCTGGGAGCCCGGGGTGCCAAGCTCTGAGGAAGCTCAGTTGCTAATGAGAACACACTGTCCATGTATTCCAAGATGAAATTTGCAGGTATTTGTTAACACTTATTAAATCACTTGAAGATGTACCATTCTGAGGCTAGAGTCACTGAAGTAATCACAGAATCTGGTTCCCAGGTAGATTCCTAGAAATAACGGGGGAAATTGGGCCCCAACCCCCACCGGTGGTAGCCCCCCGGGTGTACTGGGATGGACAGCTCAAGAGTGGAGTATCTCAGAAAAGACACACGTAGGAAGTTAAAGGCGATAAAAGTGGCATTACAGTTCAGTGGGAGGTTTTCCATTAACTGGCGCTGGAGTGGTTGATGAGCTAACTGAAAACCAGACAAAACTGGTTTAAGTCCTTGTCTCTTGCCACATACCAAAATAAAGTTCACATGGATCCAAACGTGACATGTGATGAACAGAGGGGAAAAAAAGAAAAGACCTAGAAAAAAGTGAAGATTTGATTTACGACTGAGAAACAACACTTTGAACTTAAAAGCAAATTGAAATCACAAAAAATTTGTACAGATTTAACCATTTAGACAGTTACATTTCCATATAACATAATAAATCACAAGTCAATGAGCGTGGAAAATATCTGCAGTAAGTATGAAATGATTAATAATACTAATATACCAAATGTTCATACAAATAGGTAAGAAAAACAACCCCTGTAAAAAGGGACAAAGAATACGAGGACATTTCAGAAGAGAAGGACTGCCAAATAGGTCACTGTAGCTTTATACTCTCTACCAAATGTGTGGGAGTTTCCCTCCACCAAGCAATTTTCTGTGACACCAGCTGGTGTCCTATTTAACTCAATTCTGACACCATCTACTTGAAGAGAGTGTTAGGTCCCCCAGGCAAAGGGCTTAGTCCCATAAGCGGCCTCCTCCCCCACTCCCGGCTCCAGAGGAGGCTTCATGACCAGGACTGATGGATGACATCACTGGGCACTGGGTGTGGGTGATTGTATCTCCAGCCAGTCGGCCTCCCTGGAGGTTGTGGGCTGGGGTTAAAAGTTGCTCTCTAATCCCAAGGTTGCTTCCCTTGACAACCAAACCCTATCTATAGAGATTTGCCAGAAGTCAGCTCATTAACATAACAGATGTGCTTGAAAGGAGCTCGTTAACGAATAAAGAAGACACCCTTATCTCTATTATCACTTAGGAAATTCCAAGGGTTTTAGGAGCTCTGTGCCAAGAAGGGGAATAAAGACCAAATATATATCCTTCTTACGTAAATCGCGGTATCTCATTAACTAACATGAAAAAAGTCTGTACCTTTTGTAACGCAAGCAAAGATATGCCAAGTCAAATAACCTAGGAGTTTCCCTATCAAAACTGCAGATGAAAACGTTGGTTGTCACAGAAGGCATGGCAAAGCGGGCATGTTCATGGCGGTGATGGTGGAAATGGTTAAACATCCGTGCAGACTTTCTAGGAGGCAGTTTGGCAATATGCACTGAAACCCCTAAAAACCATTCTTTCTGGCCTAGTAATTCCACTTAGAGGAGTTTATCCTAAGGCAGCAATCAGAAACGCAATCAACGATTTATATACAGGAATGTTCATCGCAGTATTTGGCAAAAAATGGAAAGAAACTCTAATGCCCACCAGTGGAATTAAATTAAGACATATCAAGGCAATGAAACTCTGCAGACTTTAGAAAAGTCACGTCTAAAATCACACTCTATAGTATGAGCAAGACAGAGACTAAGGAAACATTCTAAAGTGTTAACGTTAGCCATGGTTGCTATCTGTGGGTGGTGGCAGCCTTATGGACAATTGTTCTCTTTTTGCATTAAAAATATTCCAGAATTAGGTGCTGTATTTATGTAAAACTGAAATGCAGGAAACAAACAAACACCCTTCACGATTAGGTAAGATAAGGCAGGAGTTGGCTGGAAAGAACACAGAGAAAGGGGAGTATGCGCAGAATCCCAAGTCTTAGGAACTGTCTCAGGTCTGGGGCTTCCGGAGGGATGGGGTGTAGGGAGAAGATACTGAAAAATGCACACTAGCTGTCAGGAGGTAAGAAGGAAAGAAGGAGTGTGTGTGTGTTTTCTGTGTGTGTGTTTTCTTTCCCAAAGGAGCCTTTGGTTTTACAGGTGAAGAAGTGTAACAGAAGTTATTAAAGGAAACAGTCCATAGTAAAATATTTTAAGATAAGCACCAGCAGCCCCAAGATCCCACCATGAATTTCCATCGGCATGAGAAGCAATGCAGTCTAGTAACAGAGGGCCCGAAAAATCTTAGACCCTGTAACAGCCCGAGCCAAGAACACGGGTCTTTCCGCCCATCTTAACCCGCAGTGTGTGTTTTAAGGATTTTAAGTGTGGTTCTGTAACTCGGAGGACTCGTCTAGCTCCTGCGAGTCGCGGGTCTGCTCCTGCCTGGCTGCCCGTTTCTGCGCAGCAGGCCACGCTTGTACGCATTTGTGCGGCTTGGGGCGAGCCCCTGGCGCCCACACTCGGCCCGGCGGGGCTCTCGCGGGGGGACACTGGCGTCGCCCGCACCGTCTCGGGGGCCGGGGGCGCCGCCCTGGTGCCGGAGGGAGCTGCGGGAAGGAGGGCCGAGCGGGCAGGGCTCGGCGGTCCTGGGGCGGGGGCACAGGTGCGGCCCGGGCTCGTGGCCGGGGTGGGGGAGGCTCGGCGGGGCCCGCGGGGCCGCGTGCGGGCGGGCACTTACCGCAGGAGGGGCGGGCCCCGCGGCGAGCCTCGCAGGCAGGCGGGGCCGGCGAGGGGCCGGGGGCGGCGGCGGGCGGCGGCGGGCGGCGGGGGCGGCGGGGCCGGCGGGGCCGGCGAGGGGCCGGGGGCGGCGGCGGCGGGGGCGGCGGGGCCGGCGAGGGGCCGGGGGCGGCGGCGGGCGGCGGGGCCGGCGGGCAGACGCGGGCCGGCGGCCCTGGTCGCGGTGGCGCTCGTGCCCGGGTCCGCAGCAGGCTGAAGGCCGGGCCCCTGATGCGGACTGGTGCCCCAGCGGCTGATTTCACTTTCATTTCTTCACTCGCCGGTGGCCCGTGACTTTTCGGAAAGGAGGGCAGTAAACAACGTGGCGGCTCAGCAGCCCGCATCCTGTCCCCACACTAGAGCCCGCGAGCCGAGGGACGGCAAGAGGCAGGTGAGTGTCTGCGCGGACACCCGGGCCCCGCACGGCAGAGGGCCTGGCGCTTAGACGCCGCGTGAACACGACCTAGGGTTTTATTCGCAAGGGACCCTCCCCGTCCTCCGGCCTAAGGCCCCGGGCCCGCCGTCCGTCTGCCCCTTGCTTTTCCCACGCCGCCTTTGCGGGATGGCCGCGCTTCCCAGGACCAAGCCCCGGTGTTCTTCGGGGTCCCACCAGGATGCTTAGGCCGCTGGAACGTCTCTCCCTTCAAAATAAGAGCAGGACGAAGCTTTTGTTTTGTAAGCAGCGGGGCTCCTAGCCAGAGTTAAAAAAATTGCTCCCTTGGCTCACAAGACCAGCTGGGCTTTCCAGTTTGGAGCAAAGCTCGCTCAAGTCAGTAGACAGCTACCCTAGGAATACTGGGATCCTTTCCCTTCCCCCGGGGGGGTTCCTTGAAATGCCACGTTCCCCCCCTTTGTAGTTCTTTTATTTATTGTTAAGATTTTATGTATCTATTTATTTTTAAAGATTTTATTTATTTATTTGACAGAGAGAGAGAGACAGCGAGAGGGAACACAAGCAGGGGGAGAGGGAGAAGCAGGCTCCCCGCAGAGCAGGGAGCCCGATGTGGGGCTCGATCCCAGGACCCTGGGATCATGACCTGAGCCGAAGGCAGTCGCTTAACCAACTGAGCCACCCAGGCGCCTCTTACTTTTTTTTTTTAAGATTTTATTTATTTGTAGTTCTTTTAAACTGAAACCCTAGAAAGATGAGGTCTGATAGGAAGAAGAGGGGCTCTGGGGTCAGATTAGCAAATTATTTAACCAAGCTGAGCACCAGCATCAGTTCCTTATCGGTGAAATGGAAACCTACCTGCTTGACATGTTGTTGTGGAAATTGGAGATCAGGTGTGAGAGTGCTTAGCACTGAGTGCTGAGTACTGGGCACATGGTGACGGCAGGTGTTTTGATTCAAAGCAGATTTTCTAAATATTTAGCGTAACCTTCCTGACAATGCCTTCAAGGCAGAGACCGAATTAACTTTCTGGTACAAATCTAAAATAGTTCCTCCAAAAATTGAACACTTGGTGAGTACAGTGATACGGTATTAAAGAGACAGAAATACATACATTTAAACATTCATCTGAAGTTACAATGCCCAGTAGTTTCAAAAAGCGTCAGTTTAGAGTTGGTTATGAAAAGCGGCGACCCCACATTCTCCCACCTTCCCCAGAGGCAAGCGCTTTCACCTGTGGGCGGATTCTTAGGTTATTTTCCTCAGTTCTCAGAATAACCCGTGTCTATTGGTACTTCCTGGGTTTTCAGCTTCGGGCCTAATCTATTGATTGAGCAGCTGTAACAGATGAAGATTTGGCTTTCTTCTCCCTGACTCTGTGGTCCTCAAGCATGAGTCTTTTCCTCCTCCTCCTCCGTCCAAACTGGTTTTGTTTAAATCAATATTCAGTGTCTGCGATACTATAATATGTGAATACCACACACAATAGTGGAGCTGTGTAGAAAACTGTGATTTTTTTTTTTCCTTCCCCGCAAAACTGTTAATCTTCCCTGGAGATAATAATTGCCTTAATTCTTTGTTTGCTTGGATTCCTATGTGCTTAACACCGGTCCAACCCGCAAATCTGAAATCTTTTTTCGAGAAATGTGTATGCACGGTACTTGACCTCTTCCTAAGAAAGGCTCCGCCAGCGCCCTCGGACTCGCTGCCTTCTGGAAGGTTCCTTCCCACCATTCTGGGGCTTCCCTTTGCCTCTTTCTGACTCGGGATCTCCTATTGCCATTATCAAAGGCTTTTACGGATTTAGTCTTTATTCTGCCCTTAAGCTTGATCAATCGAAGGTCGATCGAGTGTATAGCATTTTAGGTGAAAGTAACTTGCACTGATAATTTTGAAAGCCTTATTCCATTCCGTCTGGCCTTCGTGTTGTTCTTTGCGAGTATAAAGTTGTTCTGCTTTACAGCTTCCCAAAGAGTCTTCTCTGCTGTTCTCATCTGTGCAGCTTTGTCTTAAACAGAAATTATGATTTTAGTGGGTTTTTGAGAAGGAACAAAATTAAAAGTGCCCAGTTTGCCATTTTTAACTGGAAGTGTAATTGTTATTATTTTTACATCCTAGAGGCTCTTTTTAGCAGCCCCTCTTACCGGCTCTCTCCGGTTACACAGCTGGCCTCTGGCTGAGCTTGTTGCTCTAATCAAGCTCCTAGCCTCCTTTTCATTGCTGATCACCCAGGTCGCCACTGGGTTTGCCAGCACTCTGGGCCGAGAGCTTCCCCATACTCTGTTCCAAAGACATCAGTGTCCTTGGGGAGAACTCCAGAGCTCTCGGTTCGCAGGGCAGGCCTCTCCTCCGGGGGTGAAATACCTGAGGCAGCGGCCGGCTTTTTCTGGAGCTTGGAGGGGGTGGGGCAGTCCCTCTGGCCTTTTCAGCTTTCTCCCCACCCGAGGAGCAAGCCCGGGCCAAGGGGACCCGGGCTGTACCATTCTTCTCTGCGACACAGAGGTAGGGACCGGAGAAATGCTAGCAGCCTGCCCCTCCCGCGAAGATGCCCCAGCCCTTGACTGGGAGCTGGGGGACAGTGATGCCTGTCACCTTGGCCACCAGCTCAGGGAGAGGGGAGCTGTCCTCTTGCTGAACCAGTGGGAAGGGAGGAGTGGGTATGGCTTAAGTCTGAGATTTTAGTAGATTTTCTTGAATGTTTCTTCATTTGTTGTATGTCCTTTGGACAATTTCCTGAGGCTTTAAATGAGGGTTTTTGTTGTTTAAATTTTTTTTTTTTTTAATTTTTTTTTTTTTTACCGGTGATGGTAGTCTCACAGGGGAGTAGATGGAGGAACCTCTCAGGCTGCTAGTCTAGAACTGAGTCTCTGCCCCTTTATTGTTTTTTAAAGGGGAAAAAAGAATTTTTTAAAAAGATTTTTATTTAGGGCGCCTGGGTGGCTCAGTTGGTTAAGCGACTGCCTTCGGCTCAGGTCATGATCCTGGAGTCCCGGGATCGAGTCCCGCATCGGGCTCCCTGCTCGGCAGGGAGTCTGCTTCTCCCTCTGACCCTCACCCCTCTCGTGCTCTCTGTCTCTCATTCTCTCTCTCGCAAATAAATAAAATCTTTAAAAATATATATATTTTTATTTATTCATTTGAGACAGAGAGAGCACAAGTGGGGGACGGGGTAGAGGGAGAGGGACAAGCTGACTCCCTGCTGAGCCGGGAGCCCAACACTGGGCTCAGCTCCATCCCGGGACCCTGAGATCATGACCTGAGCTGAAGGCAGACGCTTAACCAGCTGAGTCACCCAGGCAAAAATTTAACTGAATAAAATCTAAGGACATTTAAGTATTGAATACATGAACAAATCTGAAATTACAAATTTCAGAAAATTACAAAATAAGAAACAAATGGTTGTAACTTGCAAGCCCCTTAAGCTATGAATTTAGAACTGATAAAAATACTGATAGGTTTAACTGTGATGTTTTTATTGTTGTTTAGGTTTTTCATTTGTTAAAACTAATACCAATAAGTTTGAGGTAAATATTAAGCTACTTTTACCAATTTCTAATAATATATTGACATAGTCTTCCCTACCCCCCCACCCCCAGATATCCTGCCTGGTTTTGTAAACTGTCAGTTATGGCTTAAATAATAATATAAGTGCAATATTTACCTCCTTCCATTCTAGAGGACCCGATGAAATAGAAATACTGTATCATAATTAAGTTAAACCCATCTATATTTAAAAATGCTCTCAGGAGTTATAATTCTCTCAAACATCAATAAGAGCAAACAAAAAAAATCAAACAGCAGCAATTAAAGTGTTCATTAGAGGTAAATCGAAATTGCCTTTTTTTGTGGTTTGTTTTTTCTAGCTTTACTCTGATTGACAAATGAAACTTGCATATATTTAAAGTATACAACATGATAATTTAATATACATTGTGAAATGATTACCACAATCAAGTTAATGAATATATCCATCACTTCACTTATTTTTGGGGGGTGATAACACTTGAGATCTACTAAGCAAATTGACAGCTGAATAAAGAAAGTGTGATTTTATGTTATATAATCTATATCTATATCCTTAGATATATTGGGATATTACTCAGCCACGAGGAAGAAATCCTATTTGCAACAACATGGATGACACTGGAGGACACTCTTCGTTATTTTTTATTTTCTTATTTGGTTGACTTTTCACAAAAGGAATAGGGCTTGAACTGGGGACATTATAGTAAGTGAAATGAACGAGACACAGACAAGTACTCCATGATCTCACAAAATGGAATAAAAAAAAAAAATCAAACCTACAGTAACACAGAATGCAGTTGAGTTTATCAGAGGCTGGGTTGAGGGGAAAAAGGGGAGAGTTGGACAAAAGACATAGTCTTTCAATTTCTAAGCTGTATCTGGAGACCTAATGTACAGCATAGTGATGATAATTGATAGTTCTGTACTGTGTACTCGAAATCTAAATTACTTTTGAAGAGAAAAAAAAAACAGATGTCCTGCCGGGGGTGTTGGCTGCTCAGGGGTCGACTGCAGTGACCTCTGAAGGAGACCTGCGTGTGACCCTGGGTCCCTGTGAATTCGTGGCATAAGTGTCCTCCTTTCCTTTGGACCCCTGGGTCATCTGGGGGATATGCTCTAAAGAGAGCAGGTAAACTGATCACCTTCGGCACAGTTTCAGTCAGAGAATTTATGGGCTACTTTATCATGTCCAGCCTGTGTCCTTCATGTGTAATACTTTCAAACCTTTTTTCAGTTCCCCATGCTTTTTGTTCCTTGTCTTCTTGGGAAAGAGGCTTAGGTTTTGCTGGAGAGGAGTGGTTTTTTTTGTTTTGTTTTGTTTTTTTAAGATTTTATTTATTTGAGAGACAGAATGAGAGAGAGAGCACATGAGAGGGGGGAGGGTCAGAGGGAGAAGCAGACTCCCTGCTGAGCAGGGAGCCCGACGTGGGACTCGATCCCGGGACTCTAGGATCATGACCTGAGCCAAAGGCAGTCGCTTAACCGACTGAGCCACCCAGGCACCCGAGAGGAGTGTTTTTATCCCAGCCATCCAGTATTTCCCTTGGAGGTTGTTCTACATTTTTTTCTGAGATGCCTTTAGCATTAGTTTATTGGGACTGGAAGGGTTTCAATCTGCCTTTGATCATGTCCCTTTTTTTTTTTAAATTAATTTATTTGAGAGACCGTACATGCATGAGTAAGCGGAGGAGGGAGAGAGGGGGAGGGAGAATTTCAAGCAGACTCCCTGAGTGTGGAGCCTGACGCAGGGCTCAATCCCATGACCCTGAGATCATGACCTGAGCCGAAACCAAGAGTCAGATGCTTAACCGACTGAGCCACCTGGGCGCCCCAATCTTGTCTGTTCTGAGAGATGAGCCATTATCACACAATAACATGGCAGTTTGGGGAGCTTGGTTTTTGATTCATTTTTGAGAAGTCTACTGGGTCCTCAAGTGCAGAGCACATTTCTCTTAAGTGCTGCCAAACACAGACTTTGTACTTTCAGAGGACTGGCCTCTACGAGGGGTGACCCGAGAGATCCATAGCCTTGTATAAACTCATTTAATCTTTTCACTGACCTAACAATGTTCTTCAACCAGGACAGAAAAGCATGTGGCTACCTCTTTATTCCTCCTTAAAGTCTGTTAGCTTCTTCTTAAAAATGAAAGGATCATAGCAGTGTATGCTGAAGGGAAACCCAAAGGGCTCTGTCTCGAGTAGTCAGATTCCAGCACCAGAGCACGGCTCTAGAACCAAGCTGGAAAGCTAGCTGTGTGGCAGTCCAACAGGTCTGTGTAGCTCCAAAAGCTTGGTTGCTGGTTGTTGGTATCCCGTGGACCATAGCTATCTGCTTGGAACCCTGTGGAATGTTCTATCTCTAAAGCAAACTAGTGTTGGCAGCCCCGGCCAGACTACCAGTCAGGTAGGGCCAGGGAGGCCTGGCTGGATAAAAGACTGCACCCTAACTTTGCTCACTGCTGCACACACACAAAGCCATGGTGTGTATTGTGCCCTGGGGGAATTATAGAAAGGCCACCTGCAGCCAGAGGAGACTAACCCATAAGCTCTGGCCCCACCTGACACCCTGCAAAACCGAGAGGATTAAAGTGGTGTCGTACCGTCACCTACATTCTCTGCCTGTGAGCATGTCCGGGCCCAATGGGGAGACAGGTGCAGGCCCACATTCTGCGGGGAGCCGCCTCCTTCCATGTTCGTTTCCTTCTGCAGGCTTGAAGCCAGATCCTACCCTTCCCCGTGGGCCTGCTTGAGCCTGTGTTGGGTGGGTGCAGACAGACCGCGCCGGGCAGATGAAGGGCCTCCCCAGCGGCGTTCCTTCACTGTTACGAACTCAGGACACCTCCGGGGGAACTTCTGAGGCCTTCGCATTTCCTGTATTTTCCGTGGAGCCTTGCTGTGTTGCGTCCAGGCGCGCTCGGCGTGCCTCACTGACCCAGGCTCCCTCCTGCACCTGCTGCATCGTCAGCACTCCGTCCTCTTCAGACCTGGGGTCCCCGCTGGGGTTGGGGGGGAGCACATCACTGTCTCGGCTCACTTTGTCGTCTTTGGTTTCTTGACACACAATCTCTCTGTCCTAGTATGTCTCCGGCAGATTGGCGCCCCCGGCTGCTTTCGTCCGCCCCCCAGGACTCTGCCCCGAGAAGTTCTCTCCGCACAGCCTTTGCCCATGGGAGCAAGAGCGAGCCCAGGCTGGCCGGGGAGTCCTGCAGGGTGCCGGGAGAACAGAGGCCCTCGCCAGGCTTAGGGCTGAGGGGCCCAAGAGGGCCGATGCTTGGTGAAGTGGTCCTTGTTTGTTTATAATGTATTTGAGAGAGAAATTGCCAATGAAGAGTTTATAACCTGTTTCTAGGGGCGCCTGGGTGGCTCAGTCATTGAGCGTCTGCCTTCGGCTCGGGTCGTGATCCCAGGGTCCTGGGATCGAGCCCCGCATCGGGCTCCCTGGTCAGCGGGAAGCCTGCTTCTCCCTCTCCCGCTCCCCCTGCTTGTGCTCTCTGGCTCTGTCAAACGAATAGATAGAATCTTTAAAAAAAAAAAAAAAAAAAAAGTTTATAATATGTTTCTAAAAGTAAAGAATTCAGCCATGGTATAAAAGGTCCTTATTATGGAAAAAAATGACTTAAGCAACCTCTCTTTATATTCGGAAAGAGTGCTCACCCTTCTGAGATAAAAATGAAATATAACTTTTATTTATTATTTGTTTGGTGGTGGACGGCAGATCATCCTTAAAGCCTAATTCTACAGAGCAATTTATTGATGTCAGGACGAAAGCCCCAGAGTTAGCGGGTCTTTGGTTTCATCTCCTAAAGCCCTCTGCCTGAGCTGGTAGATCAGGGACAACTTCAGAACCCCACCTCCTCCTGGCATCACTGCTGCCCTGCATGGGGAGCCAAAGATGATCAGAATCCGGGTCATGTTTGCTGAGAGCACAGTGTCACCGTAGATACTCGGCCCTCCTCTTTCAGAGTGGCCTCGATTTTTTAAAGGTTGTTTTTTTTTTTCTTTTGGACCTAGAATTTCAGGTTGTCCGTTTTCTTTCAGTTCTTGAAAATTGCAATTCCATTTTCTTCTGGCTTCAACAGTTTCTGTAAAGAAATCAGATCGAATTCTCATAGTTTTTCCCTTGAAGGAAATGTGGCTTCCCCCCCACCCTCTGGCTGCTGTCACAATTTTTCTTTTACCTTTGGTTTTTACTAGTTTGACCATGATGTGTTTAAGTATGGTTTTCCTCACATTTATCCTGCTCGCGCTCTGCTGAGCTTCACTTCAGCAGATTTCTTCAAATATTGCTTCTCTCATTCACTTCCTTGTCTCCTTCTGGAACTCAGTTAGACATTGAAAGTTAGAGACTGTATATCCCACATCTCTCTTACCCTCTATTCTGGCCTTTTTTTTTTTTTTTTTTTTTTTAATCTTCTAAATTTTATTCTGGAGAGCTCTTTTGACCAGTCTTAAAACTGATTTGGTCTGCTGTATCTAGCCTGCTGTTAAACCCATGTAATGAATGATTAAGTTCAGAGATTGTATTTTGCAGTTCTAGAATGTCAGTTTGATTCTTTCTGAAAATAAAGCCTAATTCTGTATTGAAATGCTTCATGTTTTCATTGATTTTGTTCACCTTTTCCTGTATAATTTTTAACATAATGATCATTTTGAAATCTTTTCTGTTAACTCCATTTACTGGATTATCTCTGGGCCTGCTTCTGTTGTCTGCTTTCTCTCTTGACTATTGGTCACCTTTTTTTTCATGTCTCCTAATTTTTAATTACATGCTAGACATGGTGTTAATACATTATAGAAGGGCTGGATTATGTTATCTTCTTCTAAAGAATATTTAGTTTTGTTCTGGAAGAATTTGCATTACTAGCAGATTATCTCTATCTTGTTGGGATTTTATTTTAATCTTTGTGAGAATGTTCTATTCCAGTTTTGTCCTTCGTCCTAGGATAGAGCCCTTGCTCCTATGCATGGTCTTTATTCACAGGACATGTTTTTTTCTGGGGTTTCAATTCAATGTTGGAGATTTTCACCAAGGTGTCTCTATTCTGGTTGAGTTGGAACTCCGGTGTCTTCCCAGGACTCTTTTCTACTCTGTTTACTATACACTTGCCTTTACATAAACATCTTAGGATATGGTCAAGGACCTGAGGGGAACTTTCTACATAGATTTTGGGGGCTATTTTTCTGTGGTTCCTCTTTTTTAGCACCCTGCCTCTAAATTTCAGCTATCGTAGCAGATGCAAACTCTGATCTCTGTTTTGTCTGGCCAGTAAGATTGTTGGATTCCAATTCTCTGAACCAGGGTTTGGAAAATGCCTCTAGGGAGAAAGGTGGGACTGAAGGGGGGGTTTATCCCATATATTCCTTCTCACAAGCATCGCAGTCCTGTGCTATTCACCATCTATTGCCTGAAGTCAATTATTTCATGTAGATGATTTGGTTTTAGTTTCTAGAGGGTGGGTTAGTTCATTACCAGCCTTTCTATAATGGATAGAATTGGACAACCTCATTCATTTTTATAAATGGATAGCAGTATAAATATTTAAGTTTCCTCCATGTCTTCTCATGGCTTGGTAGCTCATTTCTTTTTAGTGCTAAGTAATCCATTGTCTGGATGTACCACAGTTTATTTACCATTCTGCTACTAAAGGGCATCTTGGTTTCATTCAAGTTTTGGCACTTAGGAATAAAGATGCTATTAATATCTGTGTGCAAGTTTTTCTGTGGACATAAGTTTCAACTCCTTTATATGAATACCAAGGACTGTGATTGCTGGATTATATAGTAAGAGTATGTTTAGTTTTGTAAGAAACCACCAAACTGTCTTTCAAAGTGGCTGTACCAATTTTTTTTTTAATTTTATTATGTTATGTTAGTCACCATACAGTACATCATTGGTTTTTGTTGTGGTGATCCATGATCCATTGTTTTCGTATAACACCCAGTGCTCCATGCAGTATGTGCCCTCCTTAATACCCATCACCAGGCTAACCAATCCCCCCTCTCCCCTCCCCTCTAAAACCCTGTTTGTTTCTCAGGTCCATAGTCTCTCATGGTTCATCTCCCCCTCCAATTCCATCCCACCTCCATTTTTCCCTTCCTTCTCCTAATGTCCTCCATGTTATTCCTTATGTTCCACAAATAAGTGAAACCATAGGATAATTGACTTTCTCTGCTTGACTTATTTCGCTTAGCATAATCTCCTCCAGTCCCACCCATGTTGATGTAAAAGTTGGGTATTCATCCTTTCTGATGGCTGAGTAATATTCCATTGTATATATGGACCACATCTTCTTTATCCATTCATCTGTTGAAGGGCATCTCAGCTCTTTCCACAGTTTGGTTATTGCGGACATTGCTGCTATGGACATTGGGATGCATGTGGCCCTTCTTTTCACTACATCTGTGTCTTTGGGGTAAATACCCAGGAGTGCAATTGCTGGGTCATAGGGTAGCTCTATTTTTAAATTTTTGAGGAACCTCCACACTGTTTTCCAAAGTGGCTGTACCAACTTGCATTCCCACCAACAGTGTAAGAGGGTTCCCCTTTCTCCACAACCTCTCCAACATTTGTTGTTTCTCTCCCTGCCCATTTTGGCCATTCTAACTGGTGTAAGGTGGTATCTCAGTGTGGGTTTTGATTTGGATTTCCCTGATGGCTAATGATGATGAACATTTTTTCACGTGTCTGTTAGCCATTTGTATGTCTTCTTCAGAGAAGTGTCTTTTCATGTCTTCTGCCCCAAAGTGGCCGTACCATTTTTTATTTCATACACTATAATGGAAGTATTTTCTCTGCTTCTGTCTTCTGTTAGAGATTGTAGAGATTTGGTGTAATTTCTTAAATTTTTTGTAGAATTCAGTCAACCCATCTGGGCCTGGTGATTTCTCTTTTGACAACTTATTTATTGATTCAGTTTCTTTACTTGATACAGGCTTATTCAGCTGGTCTATTTCTTCCTGTGTGAATTTTGGCAGATTGCGTCTTTCAGGGAATTGGTCTGTTTCATATAGGTTAACCAAATTGTGAGTAGAGAGTTGTTTGGAATATTCTTTTATTAACCTTTTAACATCTGTGGTATCAGTACTGATGGTCTCTCATTTCTGATATTAATTTGTCTTTTTTTTTCTTAGTTAACATTGCCATAAGTCTATAAATTTTATTGACAATGGAATATTATTCAGCATGATAAACAAATTATTAAGCCATGAAAAGACATGATAAAATGTATATGCATATTACTAAGTGAAATAAGCCAATCTGAAAAGGCTACATATTATGTGAGTCCAACTATGTGATATTATGGAAAAGGTTAAACTATAGAGACAGGAAAAAGATGAGTGATTGCCAGGGGTTAGTGGGAAGAGAAAGATGAATATGCAGAGAGAATATTTAGGGCAGTGAAACTACCTTTTTTTTTTTTTAAGATTTTATTTGAGAGAGAGAAATATTGAGAGAGCATGAGAGCGAGCACGAGCAGGAGGGAGGGGGAGAGGGAGAAGCAGAAGCAGACTCCCCACTGAGCGGGGAGCCCGATGCAGGACTTGATCCGAGAGTCCCAGGATCATGCATGACCTGAGCCCAAGGCAGATGCTTAACCGACTGAGCCACTCCAGGCGCCCCAGTGAAACTAAGCTGTATGGGTACTGTAATGGTAGATCTATTTCATTAGACTTTTGTCCAAAGCCACAGAATGTACAACACTCAGAGTAAACCCTAATGTAAACTATGGACTTTGGATGGTAACGATGTATCCATATAGGTTCATTAGTTGTAATAAGTGGTGGGCGATGGTGCTAATGGGGAGGCTATGTATATGTATGTGTGGGTATCAAGGAGTTTATGGGGGAAATCTCTGTACTTTCTGCTCAGTATTGATGTGAACTTTCTCTAAAAAAATAAACTCTATTAAAACCAAAAATAAAACCAAAACAAAAATATAGCAGTTACTCTTTTACTATCCCAGTGAGCTCTCCTTGAACCCTCTTTGGCTATTGTAATTGTTGAGAGTAGCCTACCCAACCTTAGGTTTTCTTAGTTCCATCTTGCTACCATGACCTAATTAGCTTGTAGCCTATAACTTTCATGTGCCTCATCTACTGATTCTCATTCTGCTTATCCTTATCCTGTAATGGACACCACTGGTGACCTGTGACTCATTTTCTCACTTATCACATCCATCTTGACTTCTTTGCCTGACATACCTATTTCTCTGCAGTGTCCCTGAGGAATTCCACCACTGCTGTCTTATCAGTGATAAACTGTGAGATGTTCTACTTGCTTTCACATGAATAAATGGCTGGAGATGTACATTCATTAGCTCTAAAGCAAACTGCACATCTGAACTTTTACATGGTTGCTACATTTTGAGAAGTCAAATGACCATTGTATACCATAATCTATGCATTTCAGTGCCATTTTGTGACACACTTGCTCTGCGCAATTAACGTCCTTTAATATATAGTATTTTCTTTAATTGTTGGAGCTATACAACTTAGTACTTTCCTATGCACCCTCTTATTCTGTAATTATTTTAGTCTTGTGTGGTGTTTTATATGTACAATTATACAGTAATCTTCTAGTGGGGAGAAATGTCTTTTATATCACTGATGGTTTCTAGCACACTAAAGATAAAACAAATTCAAGAAAAGATGTTTGTTGACTGATTCATTAAGGTGCCTAGTAGGGATGTTAAAGTCACTGATCGTACATGTCATTCCGTCCTTGAGTTCTTAGTTTTTTTGGTGTTCTATGCCTACGTTGTTTTGGGAGAATTCAAAAGTTCATAGATTTTTTTTCCATCTTGGCAAAAATCAAATATAAATAAGTGATTTTAAATTTTCTGTATTTTCTCTGGATTTCTTTCTAAATCTCTGAAAGATGTTGTCACTAATGAAGATGGGTTATCTAGACTTTTAGTATATGCATATGTATGTGTAAGGGGAGGGATAGAGATAGGGGCTGGGGAGGGCTTTTTCTTTTTCTTTTCCTTTTCTTTTTACTATGTAAGCATATGGTATTTTTCATCCATGGTTTTCAGAGTAGCATAAAGCTAAATTATTTGTCCCTTTGGAACTTCAAATAGAAGGTGGCCTGTCCATGATTCTTACTTGGTTGCTCATTCCTATTTTTAATTGGACGTGGAGCTATTTGCATCGAGTTTTGCTCATTGGATTCTTCAGCTTGAAGACTCTTTTCTTTGATAATATCTGCATCCTTTTCAAAACTTGAGGGAATAGTCTCCCATTTGCTGCTGAGAGGTTTCATGTCTTTAGTCTTTGTGGCCTTGATTCGAGAGTGTTTTTTCTTCTTCTTGGGCACTTTGAGAGCTGACAGACTTTCAAGTGATCTCTGGGACACAGACTGGAGCCACTCTGGAGAGCTTACCATAAGATTCCTTTGGCTTATAAAAGGGTGATTTCTGGGTGGTGTCCAGGATGTGCTGCATCTCTGTATATTTATGTAAGTAGCTGGCATTAGTCTAGAAAAGAAATGAAATACGAGTTTTTGTCATGTACACTAGGTATTTGTAGTCCTTAGGTATTTTAGTTTAAGTCTTATTTTTAAATCCTTTGGTGAATTCATCTTCCCTTAGGACCTTTACCATTATTTCTATGAGAATGATCCATGTCTTCAATTTCTGCTCGTGATTTTTCAGAACCACTCCTGAAGAGTGGATAAAAAGGAATATCATCCTCCTGTACTTCTGAATGCCGAGAGGGTATGTTTGAGATACGTGCCCTGACTCAAGCTTCCTCATACAATGGCCACTCTGGGCCTCAGTGCCTTACCTATACATCTAGTTAGTAAATGTTCTCTAAAATTCCACTTTTCTCTAAAAATCTACTTGTTTATTCTATTAGAATATACTTAGTTATATGCTATACATTTTTTTTTTCTATAGTCAGTGAAAAGATCAATATGAGTCCAAGAGATGGAAGCTGCATCTATTTCTTCCTGGAAGTGGAAAATCTCTCCAGTTCCATTTTGATCTGCATAGTGTTTCTCAAGAATTTTTATCATTAATAGATGGAATGCCAAATATGAGATTTATTGCTTAATATCTGATTTCTGAACAATGTTTGACAGAGATAAAGAGATGTAAATCATCTTGCTAATATGATATTGATTAGTATCCACCTAGACTCTATTCACTTTGGTTACAAACAGAACGGACAATTTAAGTTCCAGCCCTAAAGTTATGTTCAACTGTTACATTCTGTAGCATGAGAATTCTGCCAGCTGTGGAAGCACATTAAGTATTCTCTCCCTGGTCCAAATTTGGATAGATGTCTAAAATAGTTTGACAAAAGTGTGATTTTTCTCATTTTTTGGTTTATTCTCACTTTGCTCTGTAATCTCTTACTATGGGTGACAGTATGTGTGCTGAGCCAGTCAGACAAAATACATAAAGCCATAAAGAAGTTCAAAGAGCAAAAAATATCCACTTGATTGTATTTAAGTATATAGTGGATTAATCTGTTAAGAATGGTCTTGCTTGCTATTTTCCTATTTTTTCTTATTTCCATGTATACTTACGGTAGATACTTTGGGGAAGGGTCTGCTCCAGGCACAAGGTGCCCTTCTCTGGGGACTGACTACCTCTTGATCCACAAGGGTAGGCCTTCCGTCAGCCATTTGTTGTTGTTGTTGTTTATAGATTTTATTTATTTTTATTTATTTGACACAGAGAGAGAGACAGCGAGAGAGGGAACACAAGCAGGGGAAGTGGGAGAGGGAGAAGCAGGCCTCCCGCCGAGCGGGGAGCCTGATGCGGGGCTTGATCCCAGGACGCTGGGATCATGACCTGAGCTGCTTAATTGACTGAGCCACCCAGGCGCCCCTCCATCAGCCATTTGTAACTATCTGTTCTCTACCCGCTGGCATGGTTGCCAATCAGATTCTCTTTCCCTGTAACTTAGAATCGGGAAGGAGAGACAGTGAGTCTTGTAAGTGAAAGTGCTTGGAGGATGCAAATTTGTGCAGTTAAGAGGTATGGAAAAGATTTCTGTAGAGAGAGAAAAGCAGAAATTGAAGATGGATAAAGAGTTCGGGTGGCTTTCCGTTCCCTCGTTTCAGCCCTTTTCTGAGACCTGGCTGAAAAAACTCTCCCCTTTATTTCCGTAAATAGTCTTGGGTTTTCTTATACATCTTACCTCTTACCCTACCTTATATTTTTGATTAAGCTAGCTTAAATTGGTTTCTATTATTTGCAACCAAAGAGTTCTTAATTAATCCAGTCTATTGGCTGTCTACCCTTCCAGACTCAGGCCAATCCACACTGAGTACATTTCTGGGTTCAAGTGTGTAAGAGATCGCTCATGAAAATGATTAAAAATCAAGCTATGTCTTGTCACCTTTGCCTAGGTCCACTGTATTTTGTTACTAGTTTCCTGATTTTTTAGTCTGCTGATAGTATCATATGTGTTTGATCCCTTGTGTGCCTGGGCCTATGTATGCTGTCTGTTTCTCCCATATAAGCTGACCTATTAGATATAATTTCTTTTCTTTTTTTTTATTATGTTCAGTTAGCTACTGTATAGTACATAATTAGTTTTTGAGGTAGTGTTCAATAATTGATTAGTTAAGTATAACACAATTTCTGTTAGGCACTGCCTTCGCCAGCATGATAGCTATCCCTTCTGATTAGAAACTGCCACCAATTGCCTATTCTTGTAATTTTATTGACTTCGCTGATTATACTATAAAGAAGTAGGCATTAATCAAAATTTAGGGGGAAAAAAGCATAAAGAGGAATATCATCCTCTGTCAGTGCTTTATCCAGAGAGAATCATTGTTGGGACTATGCTACCAGAGATTTTTCTAGGTGTTTATGTGTTTGTGTATAAGATGTACACATTAAATAGATTTACATAGTCCATAAATGCAACCATACCAGAGTTGTTCTGTAGTTTTTATTCACTCATGCATTGTGAACAGTATCCCATGTTAATTAATCTGTACTTATATTTCATGGCTAAATAATATTTCATTTTATCGATATACTATAAGCAATTTTTCTATTGTTGAACATTTAGGTTCATTTCTTTTCCTTTTTCTTTGACTCTTATAAACAATACTGAAATGAACATTGGGGTGTCTGGGGTTCAGTCCGTTGAGTGTCTGACTCTTGATTTCGGCTCAGGTCATGATCTCAGGGTTGTGGGATCGAGCCCCACATCAGCTCTGTGCTCAGTGGGGAGTCTGCTTCAGATTCTCTCTCCCTCTCCCTCTGTCTCTCCCCACCCACCCTCACTCATTCTCTCTCTAAAATAAAAATAAATCTTTAAAAATATATAAAGAAGTAAACATCACTACAGAAACCTCTTACCTGGGTTTTTTTTTTTTTTTTTTAAAGATTTTAATTTATTTGACAGAAACACAGTGAGAGCAGGATCACAAGCAGGGGGAGAGGGAGAGGGAGAAGCAGGCTTCCCACAGAGCAGGGAGCCCGATGCAGGTCTCAATCCCAGGACCCTGAGATCATGACCTGAGCCGAAGGCAGACGCTTAATGACTGAGCCACCCAGGTGCCCCTTACCTGGGTTTTTTTTCCCCCTTTTTCCCGAGGTTTAATTTCTTTTTTTTTTTGAGAGAGAGGAAGAAAGAGGTGGGGGAGGGGCAGAGGGAGAAGGGGAGAGAGAGAATCTTAAGCAGGCTCCATGCTCTGCGCAGAGCCTGATGTGGGGCTTGATCTCACAACCCTGAGCTCATGACCTGAGCTAAAATCAAGAGTCAGACACTTAACAGACTGAGCCACCCAGGCGCCCCATCCCTAGGTTTAGTTTCTAAAAGTGGAATTTTTTAGTGGAAATGAATGTATGATATTGAGGATTTTTCATTTATATTGTTGGATTGCCTTCCAAAACTCTGCATCAAAAAACCCCCCCAAACCAAAAGAAAAACAACTCTGTATCAGTTCATATTCCAATTCAGTGAGTGAATTCTTCCATTGAGAAGCAAAAATGAATAGTATTTCATTATTGTTTTAATTTGCACTCCTTCAATTTAAGTGAGATTAAACATTTTAAATGTTCATTGACCAATTTTTTTCTTTTGTGAATTTCTGGTTCATAGCCTTTGCTCATTTTCCTACTGAAATATTCACAATTTTGTCATTGTTGTGTAGGTTATCTGTGAATATTAAGTTTGTTGGTCCTCTGTTTTTTCATTTATATTTTAAAGAGAATATAACAGACTCTGAAAACAAAATGTCTATTGGCTGTGTGACCTTGGACAAATACTTACTCTCTTTGTACCTCAATTTCCTTACATGTATAATGTAAAACATTATGTGCATGTGTGTATAAACACAGAATCGTGTCTAGCACACAGAAGATACTTCATCAAGATTTGTTAATATTTTCAGCTTGCTGTTGTCTTTTAGGTATATGTGTTTCCGTTTAGTCTTAGTGATGATTCTATTTTTTTTATCTTTAAAAGAAATCTGGTCTTATTCTTTATGCTTTCCTCTGAATATCAATAAGCTTAAGTAATTCAAGTCAATTATTTCTAATTCTGGTTGCTCCCTAGGATTATAAGGCTTAAACACATCAGAAAAATCTGAAGTCAGGCTACAGTCATACTTTATTCACACATACTTTAATTAGAGATCCAAATTAACGAGTGATTTCACACAAATAAACAATCAGATAAGGCCTGATAACCTACTCCCTTCACATATACAATGTTTTCTGAATGGCTTTGGTTTTTTGTTCCTTTGTCAAATGTGGTGTAGCTGCCACCATTTTTAAGAGCATATGTTTGTTTCTTAGGATAATGAATTAATAAGCATTGCTTCCTTATAAAAATATTAAATAGCTGAGAATGACAAAATTGTATTGACTTACTGATGTTGAATTTGGCAGTTGGTTCTTGGGTTGAGTATTTGTTTTATCTGAGGGGTTTGCGCGTTTTTAGTACTTTCCATGATAGGGAGCAAATACTGCAATATTTCTTGAGTTTGAGCTATTTTTTTATCCCTGTAGATTCTTTTTTCATCATCTGTCCAATTTATGCCAGTCTTCTTGCTCTGGAAAGAAGTACATTCTTTCATTTTGCTTTTAAGGTTGTGATGCAGATCTGGGGAGCAACCACAAATATATGTATAGATACGTGAACTGAATTGACTCAACAATTATTTATTGAACATTATGTGCCAAGGATCTATCTAAAAATTCTTTTTTTTTTTTTTAAAGATTTTATTTATTTATTTGAGAGAGAATGAGAGAGAGTACATGAGAGTGGGGAGGGTCAGAGGGAGAAGCAGACTCCCTGCCGAGCAGGGAGCCCGATGCGGGACTCGATCCCGGGACTCCAGGATCATGACCTGAGCCGAAGGCAGTCGCTTAACCAACTGAGCCACCCAAGCGCCCCTCTATCTAAAAATTCTTATCCACTTGAAACTTATATTTTAATTACAGAGTCAGAAAATAGCAAATAAGTAACATATATAATATGTCAGATAATGATAAAGTTTACAGGTTAAAATAAAGCTGGGGAGGGGAATAAAGAATTTTGGGGGAAGGGGCTGATTTCTGTTTTTTAAAAGGTGTTCAGGGAAGGCCTCCCTGTGAAGCTGCCATGTCAAAGGGGTTAGGGAGTGAGTCAAGCAGATACCAGAGGAAAAGAGCATTCTAGGCAAGAAAAATAGTAAATGCAAAGGCCCTGAACTAGGAGCATGGTAGTGTGTTGAAGGGTCACCAAGATGGCCCAAGTGGCTAAAGCAGATTGAATTAAGGGGAAAGAGCTAAGACAGCAGCTCAGCGAGGTGACTTGGACTGAGTTCACATGGTGCCTCACAGGCCATTATAAAGACTGATTTTACTGAGTGTGAAACGGGGAGCTACAGAAAGGTTTTAATTTTGAGCAGAGGAGTATCAACATCTGAGATTTGTTTTAGCAGGACCCTGCTGTTATATAACCCTATATTTTGAGATTTTACTAATGAATTAGTGTGGGATGTGAGAACAAAGGAGTCTATGGTGACTGCAAAGCTTCTGATCTTGGGAAACAGAAGGATGGAGATATGGGAAAGACCATGGGAAGGGCATGCTGGAAATCGCTTCTTTACCACAGGATATGAAGGAATTATTATTTTGTTAATTGTGATAATTATTATAATAACATTTTTTAAAAGTGTTTATCTCCCCCTTCCATTAGTAAGACTACTATAAAAAAAAAACTCAGAAAATAACAAGTGTTGATAAGGATGTGGAGAAATTAGAACCCTGGCATACTATACTGTTGCTGGGAATGTAAAATGGTGCAGTCACTATGAAGAAAAGTATGGTGGATCCTCAAAAAATTGAAAATAGAATTACTATATGAGCCAGCAATTCTACGTCTGGGTATATGCCCCAAAGAGTTGAAAGCAGAGTTTCAAAGAGTTATTTGTATATGTTCATAGAAGCAGCATCATTCAATTCACAGTAGCCAAAAAGGTAGGAACCCAAGTGCCTATTGATGGATGAATGGATAGACAACAGGTGGTAGATACATACAATGGAGTATCACTCAGCCTTAACAAGGAAGGAAATTCTGACACCTCCTACACCATGGATGAAACTTGAGGACATTATGTTCAGTGAAATAGACCAGTCACAAAAAGACAAATAATGTGTTTGTCTTCCAAATATTTGATTCCACTTATATGAGGTACTTAGAATAGTCAAAGTCAGAGAGATTCAAAGTAGGATAGTTGCCAGGAGCTGGGAGGAGGGAGGAATGGGGAGTTGTTTAATGAGTATAGAGTTTCAGTTTTGTAAGATGAAAAGAATTTTGGAGATTGTGTACATGACAAGGTGAATGTACTTTACGCTAAAAAATAGTTAAGATGGTAAATTTTATTTCATGTGTATTTTGACACAATTCTTAAAAATCCAATAGGAGAGAGCGGAGGGATAAAAAGAAACCCTGAGTAAAGCCTGAAAGAAGGCTAGTAGACATTTTAAAGGATATGGCAGGATTACTTATAACTATAATGCCTAAGGTGGTACGCAGACAGCATGAGAAAAAGTAGAATACGCTTAGAATAAACGCATTAAATACACTATGCTTTGTAAAAAGAAAAGTTAGAGATACACACAACTATTTATGGGCAAAATGATATGATATGATGAATGTGATTTAAATACTTTAGTAAAAAAAGTGGGAATATAGATGAAAGAATAGCAGGATGCTGGTAACTATTAAGGTGGGTCCTAGGACCCAGTGGATTCATTATCATATTCTCTCTACTCTTGTTTATGTTTGCATTTTCCACAGTAAGGCTTTTATTTATTTATTTTTTTAAGATTTTATTTATTGGGCGCCTGGGTGGCTCAGTCGTTAAGCGTCTGCCTTCGGCTCAGGTCATGATCCCAGGGTCCTGGGATCAAGTCCCACATCGGGCTCCCTGCTCCGCGAGAAGCCTGCTTCTCCCTCTCCCACTCCCCCTGCTTGTGTTCCTGCTCTCACTATGTCTCTCTCTGTCAAATAAATAAATAAAATCTTTAAAAAAAAATTAAAAAAATACTTAAAAAAAAAAAAGATTTTATTTATTTATTTGAGACAGAGAGAATAAGAGAGACAGAGAGCACATGAGAGGGGGGAGGGCCAGAGGGAGAAGCAGGCTCCCTGCCGAGCAGGGAGCCTGATGTGGAACTCGATCCAGGGACTCCAGGATCATGACCTGAGCTGAAGGCAGTCACTCAACCAACTGAGCCACCCAGGTGCCCTTTTTTTTTTTTTTTTAAGATTTTATTTCACAGTAAGGCTTTTTAAAAAAAGGAATTGTCCATTATTAAAAGTCAATGTTGACTATATTTTGAGAAAGTGAGAAAGAGTGTAGTAATTAGAATTATGTTACTGAGGAAATCAATGGGCAGGAGATCTAGGGCATCACTGATAGTTGGGAGAGTACACATTTGGACTTCATTTTTAAAAATTTCAATATCCCTCCAAAAAAGAGAGATTAGTATAAGAAACTCCCTCTTAAACTCATCACTCAGCTTCAATAACTGGATTTCTTTTTGCTCCTATGATGATCATTAGTTAGAACCCATCACTGGCACGAGGTGAAATGGTTATTGGTAGCTAATATAAACAACCTGTGCAGGTCAAGCCCGTTCCAAGGAGACTTACTGATGCCTGGAATGTCATGACTCACTTTTGGGCACTGGTGGTCTAGCTAAATAGAAGACTGGATACTGCAAGAGTACTGGGTTTGTGTTTACCAAATCCAAAGAAGAAATGACTTAGATAGAAACCTCTCTGCCAGGATTTATTACTCCTCCCCTACTCTCCTCAGTCAGTTGAATTTCTGTATTTTTGCCATAGCTCATCAGTAAATATAAACTCTTCCAGAACTGAAGAAGTCTGACTAGACCTCTAATCTCTGACAAAATCCATCTCATTTCCTACTTGATAAGTTCAGTAATGGGAAAGGACAATTTATTCTGTAATAAATTGAGTGATAACGAAGCTAGGACATTTTAGAGGAAAATGTATATAGCCCTAAATGCATATGTTATAAAAAAAAAAAAAAGGCGGGGGGACAACACAAAAGAATAAGAAAAGATAGCTCCTTCTGAAGTGACTTCAGGTAAAAAAAAAAAATTGTAGAGTTTTTATTAGTATGTCGTCAAGATTCATCAGGACATATGCCTGTGAGATAATGTAATCAAGGGGCGCCTGGTGGCTCAGTCCGTTAAGCATCTGCCTTCGGCTCAAGTCATGATCTTGGGGTCCTGGGATCGAGTTCCGCATTGGGCTCCCTGCTCAGTGGAGAGCCTGCTTCTCCCTCTCCTGCCCCCCCCGCTTGTGCTCTCTCTTTCTCTGTCAAATAAATAAATAAAATCTTTAAAAAAAATGTAATCAAGAATCTGAGAATCTCAGCTCAGGAAAGGTTGAATAAGGTTGAGAAACAGAATTTTTAGTAGCTGTGGTGGACACTGAAAAAAATTCTCCCTTTTCAACAAAATTCCATGAAGACTACCTGTCTCCAATCTCACTCCTATTTTAAAATACACTTTAATTAGATTTGTACCTCTGTCTTCTACTGAAATTTCTGACCCAGATCCTGAATAAAACCTCCATGTTGTAAAACCCAATAGTAAATCCATATCACTTATCAGAAGCATTAGACTTGGTTGATTATTCCCTCCCCTTGCTACCCCTTCTTACTTAACTTCCAGGACAACACATCCTCTTGGTTTTCCTCCTGACCCACAAGGTGCTCCTACTTCTCTGAACTGCCTGTACGTTTTGGATGTTCCTCTTTTACATAGTGGTAACACTGCCACGTTCAGAGACCTGACTTGCTGGTCTCCTTTAATCAAGCCCACTTTACACTGGTCCCTGGTGGCGGTCCAGTGCAATGACATCGAGTTAGAGATCCCATCAACAGACGGATCCGAGCATGGAGTACGATTTTACTTATTAGCAGCAGCAGGTGTTTGGACTTGTAAGGAATTAGTTTCCATCTCTCTCAAAATGTCCGAGCTTACTTTTAGTAGACTAGCTTTTTGGCATTCAGGCCACCTGCATCTTTAAATTCATCGCGTAAGCTCTGCATTTCTGAAAGGTCCATTGTTTTTAGACCCTTTGAAGCACAACGGATATCACCGTATGTTAAACTTCTTTCTCAGGGAAAATGTTCATAAAGCAAAGAGGTAATCTGAACTTAAACTGAAGGTGGATTTCAAATAAATTACAGTTTTTCATGGCTGTTTGATTTGGCTGCCCCTGTCTGGTGACATATCTTTGAGTCTTGAGGCAGTCTTTCTTCCCCCTAAAAGTCATTTTCTTTTTCACTGTGTGAGTTTTTGTCATAACTTACATACAATACCAAATAGTTCGGGTGCAATGAATCCTTTTCTACAGTCCTTGGTGCTTCTTCAGAGATCTTCAAACAGTTTTAGAGAAACAGCATATAAATTATTTCACTGTGGTCCTTCCCTATATTCTAATCTTCAAAGTATTTCCAAATTAAGAGGACATTTTTCTTGTCCCACATGTTGAAAATGTGATTTAATGGCAGACTAACATTTTGATGGCTTGCCTATAGCTGGCAACAATGACAGACATCTTGTAGGCCCAGG